TTAGTAGCTTTGCATTCTTCACTGTATGTGATGGTGTGTGTGTGGGGGGGCTACGTCCCATGCAGACGGTAATGTTCGTTCGGTGTTTTGCTCTATCAGATGATTGTGGACTGTACCGCTATTGCGAGTATCTATACCGTTCGTTTGAAATATCTGTAGTATGTTACTAGACGAGACGACCATCGTACTAGGTGTGTGTGTGCATCTGTACTTGTTGTGTGCTCGCCTGTCACAGACAAGCTTATGGGACTAGTGGTAATCGTAAGCTGTAAGTATCTGTATTTTGGCCTGGTGTGTACCGAACTATATGTTACTATGTACACAGGCACACTACCACACTCGCCTATTACCCGTGCACGCGTTCATACATGCGGCCATTGTCTTCTCCAATCGCCCACCCAGGTAAGTACCAAGTTACTGCCAAAGGCTTAAGGGACTTCAGTTGTGTGTGTTGCTCACATATGTATACAGGCACAGATGTCCATAGATTCACGTATACCTACCGCTTCTCGTTCAATGATCTCTATAGATCAACTTATACCTACCACTTCTCATCCAATGATCTCCATAGATCCACTTATATTTACAACTTCTCATCCAATGGCCTCCATAGATCCACTTATACCTACCACTTCTCGTTCAATCCCGCACCCGTAGGCTATTGGCAAGGCCGTGTTCAAGAACAAGAACCTGCTGATCAACTTCAGTCTCAATACATACCCGCCGGAGGGACCCAAACACTCCACCCGAGACAAATCTGGGACTTCAGGTGCACCACAGTCCCACAAATCAGGGCCGGCAGGTGCAACCCAGCCCCACAGGTCAGGGCCAATGCCCTGGAAGCAGCCCACCTCCACTTCACGTATGTCCTGTGTTGTGGGAGAGTGAACTGATTGTGGAGGATGGGTTGTTGTTGTGTGTGTGCATGCGGCGTATTACAGGAGATGTGTGTACATGAGAGACCCATGGTATATATATATATATTGTTATATATTGTTATATATTGTTATATATTGGTGTATATATATTGTTATATTGTTGTATTGTTATATTGTTATATTGTTATATTGTTGTATTGTTATATTGATACATTTCTCAACTACACATACACGCGCTCACTCAACTACACATGCACACACTCACCCATCTACACATACACACACATACAACTACACATACACACTAGTCTGGTTCTCGTGCATCTTTAATATCTAATCATTTGCCCCACTTTTTTGGCGCTGTCTGTGCCCTCAACAGCCCAACCGGAACCACCGCAGCGGCCCACTTTGGACACTGAGGTCAGCCTACGGGTGCATCTGGCAGCTGCTGAGTTATCTTCAGCAGGTGCGGTCATGAGTGTGTGGGTCAGACTGGGTTTGTTTGTAGATACGGTGAAGGGTGGGTGGTGTATTTTTCTATATCGGTGTACAGGTTGTTGATGGATGCTTGCGAGTGAATGCATGTACGGTAGGGTATGTGTGTATGTATATATGCTTTTGACGGTGTTGAATGTGTTTTGTTATAATTCATTCCTAATAATTTGTAATGGTCAATTCCTAGTCCTTTATTGTAATCCAATCCTAAAAATGTACTTTAATACATTACTAATCGGAACCTTTTCTACTCTGTTATTTTAATACATTCCTAATCTTACATTTTAATCCGTTCCTAATATTCCATTACAATGGATTTTTAATGTTTTATTATATTTCGTTCCTAATCTTTTAATGACATGTAAAATGCTAACACACAATCTCATGAGGTGCAAGGCATTTCGTACTACCACACAGCACACATGCCTACGCCGCAGTGACCTACACACACGCATATCTTGACGGTACATCTTACCTTGTGCATGTATATATACTCCTCACTCTGTGCTTTTGGGTTTTAGGGTTTTAGGGTGCATACACGTTCCTATGTGCCTACAACCACCCATCTGACTCTGCGCATGCACACCCCCATCAAACCANCCCCCCCCCCCCTCACTTCACAGGCCAGAAAGAGCACGCTGGGCTGCTGAATGGAGTGTTTGGGGTGAGTAACATTGCGTTTGTGGGAACGGCGTTGCTGCCGGGGAATGAAACGGAAACGGATTCACCGCACAACGCCACTGAGCGCACGAGAAAGACAAAGACGTATCCATGCCTCAACGCCCTCACACTGAGCGTCGAGAATATGGTAGTGGTATGTACTTACTGTGACGTATGTACACGTACGTATATATATATATATATATATATATATATTGGACTAAGTAGTTGACACTTGTGCTGGGGTACATTGTTAATAGTGTCTGTAGTTCTGCTGGCCATCTGATTAGGTCGCACTGTTTATGGATACAACATACCACATGTCCTTTTGTCTTTTTGCTGGACCATTGTGGCTGTTTGAGAGTGACCTGGATCTCTGGTGCAGCTCAGTGTACGGTTGTGTGTAGGTGTACATCCGTCATAGACATGCATTTGTGTGTTCGTTTGTCTATTTATTGTTGTTTCACATTTTCTCTCTATACTCGACCAGATTTTGCATTAATATACACATCAACATAAACTATAAACATACATATCAAAATAAACAACATATACACGAAGACACACGCACATTCAGTGCACCCCGAACCCCTTACACCTACAGCAACACTCACACATACCACGCGGCTGCATCGCATTAACACACTCGCACATCCTCACACCTTACCCCACAGCTTCAATCAAGTACCACTCCAACCCCATCCTGATTCTGGATGTGAGTGACCTGAACCTCGAAATCAAGGTATGCTAGCCATGTGTGTGTTGTGGGGTTGTCCCATACAGTGCCACAGTACTTCCATTGAGGTGCTGGTTGTGGGCGGTTTCAAGCTTTAGAGTTCAGGGTGTGTGTGTGTGATCACTGTGTGGTGTGTTGTGTCTGTCATGTACCATTTTATGCTCAGCCTGCTTCTGGATATAAATGAATGCATTTTAAACGCAACATCAACGCTGCGATTAGGCACTCACTTACTTACTTACTTACTCACTTACTCACTCACTTACTCACCCACCCACCCTTGCTGCTTCTTGGCTGTTGTTAGGATCACTCACCCACTCACTCACTCACTCACTCACTCACTCACTCACTCACTCACCCTCTGTTGTTGGTTGTTGGCTGTCCTTAGGATCACTGGGCGTGGCGAACGTCTGTGGGCGCGACCTCAGCCATCGCCAACAGCGCTCAACGCTTCTTCGCACGTGGCGTAGACCTTGACATCGACTCCAACTACATCTACGTCATCATGTCAAAAGAGACGCTCCCCTCATTCGCAAACGTGGCCAAGAAGGTGTGGCATGGGGTGTCGATGGGAGATGGGTGTTGTGATATGCCTGTGTGACACCATGCTTGTGGGTTGGCATCGAGTGGGGAAGTGTGTGCGTGGGTGTGCGGAAGAGTGTGGGTCGTTGCTGGCGTTGGGTGTAGAGTGTAATATACTAACTGATCAAGGCACATGTCATATCAAAGTTAACATACTACCATAATATCACATTCATATACATATCATACTACATACACACATACGCATATATACACATACACATACACACACATACACACACATCTACATATACACATACACACATACACACACACCCACATTTCGAACCATCTAAGCGCTCGCCTGTACTCACTTCTTACACACACCCCCACACATACACTCCAGATCCAACGACTGATGCAAGAGCAGGTGTCGCGGTTTGCGGGCACCAAAGGTGCAGGGGCGCGAAAAGACGCCATGCTGAGTGAACTGCACATGCCATCATCACTCGCCAAAGCGAAGGACAAGGTCAATGCACTGCTCCCACTGCTCAACGGCACTGTCAGCATCGGTGGGGAAGAGGTGCGTATGCTGGCCTGTGTATATGTGTCTGTGTCTGTGTCTATGTCTGTTTGTGTGTCTGCGTAACTTAGTGCGTATATATATATACATATATATATAGGGATTGCTTGTACGTGTACATTATATTTATATACACCTGTAGTGGGTTCACAGCCGCTTCTTCTGCATATACATCCTCCCGTAATCAATAACACACACATCTCACATGTTTATCACAGATTCTGGTTGCTTGCTTCTGGCACAGCTTCATGGACCCATCCTGGGCGTTGTTCCATCTGCGAGCCTACGAGGTATTGTGTATATATCTTATGGTTTACATGCTAAACGTTGCTTATAAACTTAGTTTATGTAACCTCTATCTTGGTCAACAGTCTACTAGATATTGTGTAAATCTCTTTTGGTACACATGCTAAACGTGGCGTATAACTTATGTAGCTTCTATCTTGGTAAACATCCTACGAGGTATTGTGTATATGTCTTATGATATACATGCTCAGTGTCTCTTATAAATTTAGTTTATGTAGCCTCTATCTTGATAAACAGCCTACGAGGTATTGTGTATATGCCGCATGGTATACATGCCAAACGTGTCGTATAAACTTAGTTTTTGCAACTTCTATCTTGGTAAACAGCCTACGAGGTATTGTGTATATGTCGCATGGTATACATTCCAAACGTGTCGTATAAACTTAGTTTATGCAACTTCTATATTGGTGAACAGCCTACGAAGTATTGTGTATATGTCCATGGTATACATGCTAAACGTGGCGTATAAATTTCGTTTATGTGATTTCTCTCTTGGTAAACAGTCTACAAGCTATTGAGTATGTGTCCATGGTATACATGCTAAACATGTCGTATAAACTTAGTTTATGTAACTTCTATCTTGGTGAACAGCCTACGATGTATTGTGCATATGTCCATGGTATACATGCTAAACGTGGCGTATAAACAGTATATGTAACTTCCACCTTGGTTAACAGCCTACGAGGTATTGTGTATGCAACGGATGGTATACATGCTAAGCGTGGCGTATAAACTTTGTTTATGTAACTTCTACTTTGTATTATTGTGATTCTGTTTAGTTCAATTCTACAGACGAGTCATTAGATGGTTATCTCTCTATGTTTGCATGCAATTATCTGTCCCCTCCCCTTCAAATGAGCCTTTTTATGTTTTAGGGTTTTATAACCACTTAATCCTCGCATAGCCATAACAGCACCCAGCCCAGTGAATGTGTAGTAAGTTAGCCTGTTGACCTGTCAAACCCTCGCACACTGACATTTACGTATTATATATACGTATTCAGGTGAATTGGGTCCAACGCATGAATGGTTGACTTGCCACTCCTTCGCATACTTACATTTACATATTTCATATACTTATTCAGATGAACTTGGTCCAGCGTATGAATGGGAAGTTTGCCAATCGGCGGTGTGACATTACGCTTGGTGACCCAGGGGCGTACTCGCTGTCGGTGCGGCAAATGTATGGCCCCGTGGGCACGGCTAAGGTGTACAACCTGGACATTGAAGAGTGGATAGATGTAAGTGTGCGAGTCAACTATTTATATATATATATATATATATATATATGTGTGTGTGTGTGTGTGTGTATGTGTGTGTGTATGTGTGTGTATATACGTGTATATGTATATGTGTGTGTGTATGTATATACATTTCTATCTGACTATCTTACATGGTACTAATCTACTGGTGTTCGTTTGGTTGTGGTATTCATCCAACTACTGACCCTTCCACTCCATACAGAACATATAGCACTTCATGTGGTTATCTTACACATGTAGCACTTCCTCTGCTTGACTCATGTTATTCCAACCTTTTCACTTCAACTACTGACCATCCCACTCTATACAGAACATATAGCACTTGCTTTGTTTGACTTATTTTAATCCGCCTGCTCCCATCCACCCACTCTATTCCATCCACAGCGTGTGGTAGAAGCTCAGTCGACGCACAGAATCATCCACGCCGGTCAGATGCACATGCGTCTCCGCAGTCACCACAATCTGATGTCGCCCATAATTCAGGTACGGTCCAGTGGGTATAGGGAATTGCAGCAGCAGTAGCCGCATGCGGGGTGTGAATACCCGAACAGTTCCTTTGCGTATTGTGTGTACCGTATGTATAGGGATGGTGTATTCGAGTATGGGTTGTATAGTCGTATCGTGGGTGAGTATATGTATCCATGCTTGCACTACCCGCGGATAAGGAGTGTGACACACAATGAATGTTCGTTGGTCACCTATCTGTGCCGAGTGCTGCTTGCGAGCTCTCTGTGGATTGTAGCAACTGCATGTCACGCTTTCGGATCAGATTGATGAGCCTCGCATACCAGTCCTTCAGACTGTGTGGAGACGTAGGAAGTTTCCCCTCACTCTCTAAGCCTATGCGCAACATCGCCTTCTGGAGACCTGATTTGTTTTAGTTTGTATTTATAGAGCATTGCGACTAGTTTTCCAAAGTTCACTCGTTACGAGAAATAATCTCTGTGGTAGTTCAAGACATATGTTAAGCTTGAGCACCCCTTTCTCTCTTATTACCAAACTAAGACTAGCCGAGCTATCTCGGCCGTCACAAGTCTCTGTGTGTGTGGTCCATTATAGTAAGAAACCTATCTTCTTCTTCTTTCTTTTTTTTCTTCTTCTTCTCTCGCCCTGTGCGCTCAGGTCAAAATGGTGACGGAGTTCCCCGACAGCATCGAGGTGTCGGTGGACGTGTCCATGTACCTGTGGATTAAACAGTTGGTTAATCTCTACATCGATGAAGCCAAGCAGCGTCGCATGGACCGCCACCCCACCACGGGCGACCGTCGAGGTAAGCGGAGTGCGGTTATTAGTCTCAGTGGAGCGAGAAGCATACGCATACAATGCATGTATGTGTGCAAGCCCGGGTAGTGGGACACTGGCATGGGTATTCTTGGGTTTTTATGTTATGCACATATAAGATAGTGTACTAGTCTGTGTAATGTGATACTGGCACGTATATTCTTGGGTTTTTATGTTATGCATATATAAGTAAGCAGCCTGGGTAATGGGACACTGGCATGGGTATTCTTGGGTTTTATCTTTCTCGTTGCCCTGAGACGTACTTTTTATTGGAGAGCGGGTGTGTTTTCTGTTTTGTCCTGTGCCGATTGTGAGGCGTATTGTCTTGACTGTCTGGCGTATTGTCTTGACTGTCTGGCGTATTGTCTTGACTGTCTGGCGTATTGTCTTGGCTGTCTGGGCTTGTATAATGAAGTGGAAGTAAGTCCCAAAGCGTTAGCACCTGTGATGACGTCATGCCAGTGAGAAAGTCAAATAAATGAGGTTGGGTCACACGGTTGACGTATCGTCGGTTGTGTAATAGATCAAATGTTCCAGTGTATTGCTGCCTGTTTAGTCTGAGCACATAAATGCATATGTATTATATACACACGCCAATAAATAGTTTGCCGTTGTGGCGTACGGACAAGAGCGCATATCGCTGTGACTTACATACCAGATACACTCAGTAGGCTATTACAGCAGCGTTTAAAACCCGCACGCGGACTAACAAATGTTTAAATGCCCAATTAATCTACCCGCTGTAGACTAAAATCCATATACATTACATCCCTTGGGTACGAACAGTTAATCAAGGCAACCCATAGTCGTCGTCGCCGTTGTCGCGCGCAACATAGAGTTACTGGCACAAGATACCATCGCAGATAGCAAGCCTTGGGTTGTGTCAGATGTTCCTGTACTCACCCCTTTAAGCTCATCTATAGCTCACTTATCCCTCTCCGTTCTTCTTAGAATCCGAGAACTCCCTCTACGAGGACGCCGTCAACGTGTCTACCGGCACCGGTCTAGACCCACTGGGGATTGATGATCTGTACCTTTCACCACTGGGCCAACACCGGGTGTCAAAGTTCGATACTACGCCCATTGATAGCGACGCCGAGCCCCCCACTGAGGACACTGTGAATGGCGATGCGACGGCCAGCGATGTTATTAATGCGGAGCCTGTGGATGGAAATGGGAACGTACAACAGAGCGAACTCGAAGCCACGGACACGCACGATGATAAGATGCTCTACGAGACGCTACAGTTTGTGCTTAACCCTGAGCTTACGATCGCTAGTTACAGTAAGGCCCTGTTGTTGGTGGTTGATATCTTGCTGTACGATTACATTGTAGACACCTAAGTGTGCGGAAGATTGCTTGTAGAGCGAAGACTGTGCATTTATACGAGCGAGTGTACGTAAGCGCTGCCCGCAATGGAGGCAACCGTACTGAAGAGCTGTACACATTTTCTGATCTTAGTTAAACATTGCTGTTGTCGTGCTGCTGATCGCATACACCCCTGATCGAAATCGAGACTGGTCGAAATCGAGACCTCATAATACGAACCTGTTGTTTGAAGTTCTAGTCTCAATTCAGTCCAATTATTTGGGTACAGGGGGAAGTAATTTTGCTCCGCCGGATATCGAATGGCTCTTATCCAAATTGGGATTCAAGAATTCTCGTCTCACTATACCAAAGGTGTGTATTGGTCTTAACTGCCGAATGCGCTTGTGGGGTTGTGATGGTTAGACATATGTGTAAACGAAGATGTGAGTTGGGCGTGATGATTCTTTTGCGATATCGCTTTAATTATTGTGTACAATAGCATCACGCTAAGCAGGTTGTCTATTCACTGCTTGATACAACCCTGGTTATCCATGTACGTTTTTCATTATTAATATTGCAACCTGGTGTCTGATATAGCAAACTTTGCATTTGTCGTATGATGAATTTGTAAATGCGAATCATTCAAGCTGGGCTGGCTACTCTGCAACACTGATTCTGATTACTTGTTTTTTTTTTTTGCAGGAAATTCACGAGATACTGGTAGATAATCTGGTGAAAATACTGAACTTGTACGCTAGCCAAACGTCCGACCACGAAGTATTGGTGGTAATGAGGGACGATACAAACCCCAGCGGCACAGCACAGTAGAAGATGCATCCATATGACAACCAGGTCATGGTCTACGTTCTGCAATAAACATATCAAAACACTAATATTAGTTCGAATACGCATAAAATTGAATTGATTGTATGGCTATTTCGTTCTAGTTCGATGACAAATTCCTAGATGTTCGAATCTTGATTGTCCATCTGTTTATAGTCTAAATTCGTTTCTATTGAACATCGGACAAGTTCAATTAAAGAAAAGAAAAAGTGAATTGGTGTCTATCGCCCATGTCAAGATATCACAAGCGGTCCTGGACTGACCCACAACAAACGATTCCGAACGGTATGGGCCAAAACCAATCAACGGCACCCGAATTATAAAGCTCGTACTCAAAGCGTCTTTAATTTGTTGTATTAGTCTCGCAGTTTCTATGGCCCGCCATACCGTTGCCTTGACATGGGCGGACAAAGACGAGGAATACGTATTTTCATTGAACTAAGTTTGATTCTAAATAGCAGGTGCTTGTGGTAGAGGGTATCTCGAACAGTTCTGTCACTGTAGATTTGGACAACACTGAACTTCGTCACCGCATCTAGGCCCCACTAGACAAGGAAAAATACGATCTACTAGGGACTATGAATAATGTGTGCTGAGTAAATTATCGGTATCCCAAGAATAGACAAGTAAAAAAAAGGGGGAGGGTGGGTTGTGCCAGTGTACTAAATGTTTAAATTCAAGATAGAGTCGTTGATTTCGATATCCTTTACCTAAATTCTGTATTGCGCGCAGGACGCATCAGGCAACTCAATTAGCTTCACCAGCGAGATTAAAGGATTTCAAATATATGTACGGAAATTTTTCTGTTCTGAAAGTACCGATAGACATATCGAGAAAAGATTATTTGCTATCATTAACAGATCATGCACCTTCGGCACTCCAATTGCTTTCTATCCCCCTGGATTTCGCTTGATTAGATCGCATCCAGAAGTCTGATTGTAGTACTGGATGTGCTCACCAAGACACACACTCGGCAACGAACACAACGCCGGATTGTACATTAGACGGATGACTGTGGCTCCTGATACACTTACCATTGAATACAGAAGCCAAATTACGATAATCATATCCGATTAGCACCACTGTATGGTGCCAAAACAATTATCAATATTTACAAAAATCTGACGCTCTTCTAGAGTCGCTAGCTGCACTCGAGAATTCCTTGTGTTTCAACCCAGTCCGCGGCGATAATCTTGAAATGAACATTGATTCTAGTCAATTCTTGAGTATTCAAGTAAGTATCGCGATCTCTGGAGCTTAAGAGATTTCCAAACAAATCTTAAACCAAAAAAAAATGTGAAATTACTATGATGTCGCAAAAATGGTTATATTTATTAAAAAAAAATTGGTGTGCTCACGATTCAGATTTATTTTCTAATTTTCTATCGATTATCACATATATACAATATGTCTTATATCACACACATCGTCATTGAAATGCTAAATATTCGTGCTCTTGACGATGAAATATTGCGCATTAAAAGATAATGACCAAGTGTCTATACGATCGCAGCCAGGTAAGAGGTCCGAACTGATTACATATAGTCTAAAGCTGAACACGAAGCTTATTGGACTGTAAATACCTAAGTTATAGGTAGTCTAACCAAGTAGCAGGTATTCCTTTTATCAAGACAGTGCTATATACTCCTATAGCTCCCCCTCAGACATTAATAAAAGTGGCTATAGAGTAACTAAAGGTGATATAATAAGGGCAAGAAGGGACCTAAGATCATTAAGACCAGTAAAAGAATCAATAACTCTTTTTTCACCAATGTCTTGAAACTATAATAAGGGATTATGAAAAAGATTAGAAAGTATTAAATCTGATCACAAATCGCAGGAACTATAATAATAAAAAGTACTGGCAAGTTTCACGGATATAAATCTCGTTAACGCGAATGAAGTTTGTCATCCTGGCAATTACTAATGTCGGTAAATCTCACTAGAAATGATAACAACAAACTTGTTTTCACGCCAGTACCTTTATTTTATTACTTGTTCTACTAGATCCATAGCATACTGATAGATTCTTATCACTGCGACAAAGAACTGGCGTATATGCGGATGATAATCACACGTTAGTCCAGAAATTGAAGAAATTTTTGTCTATATTCTTTGCCTTTTTGAAATAAACACGAATGGTGACTGATCCCAGGTACTAATGTATACTTTATTTTTCACGACCTAACCGACAAATGAATCATTAGCGCCTCACGCTTGGAATTTGTAGTTTAAAATTGCGGCTTAATAATTTCAGAAACATCACGCAAATGTAAAAATCATCACAAATCGCATCATACATACATGACACCGTGAAATATCTAGGCCACTACATGAGAGGTAACTGGGCTTCTCGTAAATTCAGGAATAGTACAATGATTTACTGAGAAGAAATAAATAACAGCCGAGTACCAGTAACCAAGACAAAAATCAACAATATATGATACATGGTCGTGTGGGTAGCAGTCAATGAGAACGGTTAAATTTCGAGGGAACAATGCGATACCTCCCTTAAAACTAATTCAATCCAATAATCACAAGCTTGTATATAACAAACGACATCAACTCCAAATTTAAGTACATTGTCACACCAGCGATAGCTTGTCAAGATATAAAAAGTCGTTGTCGACGACAGTAGACACGAAGTATAGGAACATGTAGGTCTGTATATATCTCCTCCTAAGCTCGCGGTATTTATCACGACACAATACGATACACGTGTAATCCATTTCAAGTATCAACTCCTGAGAGATTACAGGAATCAATGTATTCCTACATATGTTAACAACCTTTTACATCATTAGTAGAGAGTAATTTGAGACTTGTTCTCAGATTAATTTGTTTTATACATGAGCCAGTCCGAGGGTACGCGAGAGAAGCTCGAGACCTGTACTCAAATTAATGCTTTATAAAAGGGCCAGCCTGAGAGTACATAAGAAAGAAACAATAGATCTTATTGCTAGAATGTTCTGCAAATGGCTTCTCATACTATTCATATGAGTTTTTCCAACCCAAGCGGTTGAACACTAATACAAATACCTTTAGTCTGTAGCGGTGAGATCAGAAATAAGTTTCATTCGAACACACCATTGGAAAAATACATTTGTACTTTACATCGAGTCCCCCACCTACACGCTAGCAAGTTCAAAATCGGCCTCAAGGATTCACAACCCCCTCATATATTACAACCTCCCTCATATGCTTCGAAGTTATGGTTCACATCCGTACTACTACCAAAAAGGTCAATCAGCTTGAATCTGGTAAATTAATTGTCGAATTACCTGATAAACTCAGGTCGTGATATATGACCAAGGAATACTCTCAGGACTTGGCAAAGTTCTTAATATGCCAATGGCTGCGCAAAATACACTCTTCATGCAAGGCTTAAACGCCAAGTCTACGGTATTTACTGTCATTCTACAGCAAGCCAGACCAACTAAATAGAGTGTCATGTACTTCACATCGTATCGAAGAATAGAGTGTGTAGTATAAACTCTTTTGCAACTTCAGCACAAAGAAATCATTTATATAGATAACTTCTATATGACATAGGTTGCTTGATCATACATATACTCGACAACTCATATCTATGTCCGCCAACTGAATTATCGGCACTCAAACTCCTCCTAGCAACAGTACCAATATAAAAAAGCCTATCCAACTCTTCTCCAACCACACGTTGTTAAGGTCTTCGGTTCGTTCGACATGGACATATTCGCTGCAAAAACAGTGCACAATTTGTCACATATTGTAGCGATGATGTCCTACTTCACGACGCTTTCTTTCAGTCATGGTACCAACTCGACAAGTACCTCTATGGGAATACATCTTAAACAAACAAGGCCTGGCGCGCTACTCATATAAACTGAGGGTGGATGTAAGGCATTTCAACTGCAATTTCGCGCCTTTCAAATTCACACTGTCCACATTTTCTACATTCCTTCCGAACGGTTATGAAATCACAAAAGCACCCAAGTGGTAATATAATAGTATCGCCAAGCTTGAAAACAACTTTCAGTATCTATCACCTTCTACCGTTGTCAGAGCTGGTTTCCTTGAAGCCGACAGACTCACTTTTCCGACAGCACTCTCGTTCTGTACTAAAGACGAAATGCGACGCGGCCTCATCTCGCATGTCACTAAAAGTTGAGACTCACTTCCGGTTGTTGACAGCGTAGTCAATGTGAGTATTAAAACAAGTCTACCCCAGACAAATAAAAGCTACACCTCCGACGTAAAACATGCCGATGCCGACATTAGACCACTCTAGACCAATTCTACATTAAACCACAGACCTACACAGCGACTGAAGCACTTACCCATTTCTGCAATGTCAAACTTAAATACATAACAAGGTGTTCCCAACTTATATATATGTCGGCAGTAGCCAGCAGGCGTGAAACCCATTCTGGAGGTCACACTCACTCTAACATATCCATATTAACCGTAATATTGTCGCCACTACCAGCCCCACAGTTCTTAACAGATAATATTAACTCTGTTGCTCCCTACGCCTACTTCTCTTATCACAGGCAATACTAGCACATCATCACTTTTGCCAGCACCAACACAGGATTCTTCGCCGTCAACTGAGTCAAGCACCATCAATGAAGCACTCCAGCAATATATCCATAAGCAACCCATCTCACTGCCTGAAAGGCTAAACGAATCTGCACTAACAGATAGCTTTTCAATCAAAAAGTGACAACATACATAAAAAAAAAAACATAGCTCAACCTTGCAGCATGGCTCAACCGTAGCGTCTCAGGATAGTTCAACGCTAAGCAACCTAGAAAGTCCAAAGGAGGTTACTTTGAGAGTCCGATGATGATATACACCCGTCAGTTAAATAGATTTCTGCATATCCATGCCTATAAACAATGACAACTTTTTGCACAGTTGTTTCAAAATCGGGTTACCCCACAATCTCAGTTTGTATAGGGGAACCTTAGGTTTACTCTCTAGCTTATTTTGTCAGAACATAAAATATTCTGACGGTCTGTAATTCCGACCGTGTCAGTTGCCCAGCTGGTACGAGCGAGAACACGAGCCTGTGAAGAAGGAACTAAGTGATCAAATAACACACTACGACTGGCTGTTAAGAGGACTATATCAATCAGCTATTGTGTGCAGTACGGCCGAGGAGCAGCTGTCAACTAGTTTGTGAACTAATAACGGATATTATCCGTATCTGTGAGAGTGAATGCAAAGAGTGAAAGAAGGAAGTGCCCACCTTAGAGATAAACAAGCACTGTCCGACACGCGACATTTTTGGCGATTACACCAAAACCTGCAAGGCTGAAAAAGTAGGAATTTTCCCTTAATCGGGGTCGATACTCATAGAACCGATATTATAACAAGCCACTACAACGAGACGGTAACGCTACGGATAGAAGCGGCCGAGGTAGAGGCCGTAGGATTGTACCTGCACCGACTTTCACTGACATTGATGAGAAAAGGATACTAGATCTCGGAGTGACCACCTAACTACTTAATGTGCAAGTCACAGGACTCTATATCACTTCTTCTTACTACGAAACCAACTTTACAAATAAAGAACTCCTGCACCTCTTGTCTTAGTTGAAGCTAATCTAGCCGCATGAAGGAAGGCGGGAGCATCCAAGACGGTACTCCAATGTATGCGATATAGAGCGCCAATACTGTGGGGGGGGCAGATGGGCCTCTTAAACCGAACAATCGGGGCCGGTACATCGATATCAAGGAGGTCAGTATTGACATCGCCCAAACCAAATACGACAGACAAGAAGTCGATGGGTACATTCGCAAAGCGTCCGAAGCCGATCTCTTTTCCGTACACGACTCTTTCGCCTTAGCTAAGGCGCACACGAATCATTGTCAGTCCTACGCTCATCAACAACAGGTTACAAGCACTAAAATTCAAGATAGAGGGGTTGTATCTTGTCGCAACCACAGCCTGAGTTTACGACCATATAATGATAGCCAACTCTCGGGAAGATTTTCTTCAAACCCGGAATAGTGGTAGATAGGCGGACCGAACGCACGACTGTACGAAGACCTCGCACTCCCAATGGGCGCAGCATTCCATTCGGACTGCCTAGACAAACTGATGGATGTGATGAGCAAGATCGTGAGAAATGAAGGTATACGCATACTACTGTATGCCGACAATCTCACGCTTTTGGGGTCACATTTCAACAACACGGGCTCATCGAGATTGTATCAATCACCTGGCAAATGACGGGGTCTGCGCCTGGCGCCGAGAAGGACGAATGGAAACAGCCTGTACGACAGCTCGAACACGCGGGTATACATTGATCTGATATCGGGAACATACCGCCTAACCTCAAACACGGGTCAAACTTGGGCAAACAACGATGGATTGGCCTGAAATTATGGCAGTGATATTCCGACCTTCATCTGCAACACACATGCCTTCTCCTGTGAGGTCTTCTTGAATACGGCGCGCGTTTAGCTTAAAGACACGAGGAATCGATAATGGCTCCTTGGTATCCGAGTATAAGGGATTTCATTAGGTTATTATTTTGAAAAAAAGAAAGCTCCTGAGATATGAGGAATCGAACAAAATCACCTAAAACGATATTTCAAGTCTATGATGCAAAAATTGCTAGCTCGTGGCACTTAACAGTACCTGTCATATTAAAGTCCATGCACATTTTGTACGCAATTAATAATTTCTCAATTTACGTCTACTCTTGCAGTCTCTCAATGCCTTCGACGTGAGTCACGAGTGCAGGAGCTATTAAGGTACAAGTGATGTTCCTAGCAACTACGCGGATCTGGACACCATTCACACAAGTGTAGCTGGGAGTTCCACATTTAATGCTGTGGTCTATATATATCAGCCGAGAAGTATATGATCAGTGGGGCAAAGGCTGTCAGGAGGAGCTATTTGGGCAGGAATGCCAGAACAGGAACAAGGTGTGGTCAGAAATCCTCGGTTGAGTTCATCTAGGATTTAGGAGAAAACCCCAGTTCAACCGATCCGAGTTTCTGATCGAATTTTGATACGTGAAACATATACAAAACACGGATCTTCAAACCTTTTTTCAATATAATTACAGCGTCTCCCCTTTTGTACAAGGTGAGTACGTTATGATATTGTTATTTTTGAGTTATGACTACAAAGGATTGGCCTTGAGCGCTCAGAGGTGTTGACTGCACCAGAAGTATTCGAAGTTTTGGAAGCAGTTTGCTCAGTGTACACTGACTAAAAACAAACTTCAGAGGGAAAAAGTATCGCAGATGGGCCAGTGTCACTGGCGGGCTGGTGCAAAAATAGAATTAGTATGGTTTAATAATTGCAGTGGCGAGGCATTCTCTGGATGAGCAGACACCAAATCTACACAACTGTGTGCCAATTGAAGGGGCGAGAGCCCTCAAGAAATTGTTCTGCAGGGAATGAACTATCGAGATTTTGTATGAACTTATGGTCTAGACACTTCTAATGCAAAGTGAGGTGGGTCCCAGTAAACTGTTAAAAGAGCAGGATATTTCTGTTGTAAAAAATAACCGGGCGTTGGCAAGAGCTATCACAACTTTTTGTTTTGCAAGTGCCCGTCATCCTCAAATAGGCAGGCACTCAGTAAACGGGTGATAGATACTTTTGTCACAAGCAACGGAGGCGACTGGATAGGACATGTATACTCCTTGAGATTGCGAAATGAGCAATGTGGATCTTCGGACATGCAAGTTGCTTGGAACTATGGATTCGAATACTGCCATTACAACCTATCAGGAATCAACTCATCGGTAATTTTATTTACAAGTGTAGGTTGGTGGGGGCCCTATGCCATATCGTTGTTGTTGTACCGACTTCGACAATTTTAAAGGCAGCACGGCGAGGGCACGTGCATGGAAATTTCATGGATGTATTTGTGATGTAGTCAACGAGGAACGTCAGCCCACAAACATGTCTACAACTAGATATAAAACAGATCACTTATTTATATATCAAAATGTCGTACAGCGCCAGGAAGCGAATAGATGCGTGATTTGCACATACATGCTTGTATACATCCACAAACAAATGCATATAATAATTTTTGTGTCACTATTTGATATATCGATGGCAGTGGCCACCGTGGGCGAATTATTGGTGGTTTCTCAATGTTGCGTATGTGTCCACAGGCAAGATGCCGAGATATTCCGCCACTCGCTCATGAGTGCTGTGTACTACATAGTCTGATGTGAAGTGCTGAGGATTCACTATGACGGCCTCACCCATATTGATGGGTTGTCCGTCCATGCTGGCGAGTTTAAACTGTGTAGTTGAGAGAGAAACGGTCGTTTACAATGAGCACATAGATAGCCATTGAAGGCACACAGCTTAAATAGCATTCGGTCTCACTGGAGATAAGTTGCAAAGGGGTGGCAGCAAGGAACGTCGTAAATGGTGGCAGCAAGGAACGTCGTAAATGCAGTATACTCGTATAGTGGTGAATTATAAGTACATGAACACTATGCCGGGAGTGCGTTCGCCACTGAGATTTGAGTAAACGTACAACTGTGAGAACAATTGTGATGTTAGAGACTATAATGATAACTGATATACTGTAGCGTCTGCAGCTCTGCGTGTCGGCTTTGGTGTCAGTATAGTTGGGTGTGAATTCACAGAAAGGAGTGCAGAATTATCGGTATAAAGTGATCTAGTACTATGAATGCAGTGCGCGTACGGGAAGTTAGCTGCAGTCTTAAAGCTCCTGTACATACTAAAATCCTGATTTTGTATATGAAATGGTTCAGATTTTGAGGACATTTCTGAGCGGAGTAGCTATAAAACCCCCATCAGGGTGGAGTATGCGGAAGAATATCGTATACATAAGATATTTCCTTATAGATACATATACATAATACAATATGATATATATATATATATATATTTATACATATACATATATACATATCTACATACATATAATATATATACGTTTGTCTCGGCCGAACCAGTATGCACACATGCACGTGTAGACTACACCGAATCAGACCTTCCACTCCCTCCCTCCATACCATATAGTACTCGGTTGTGTTGTCTTGCTCATCACTAAAACTAGCGGATCCGATCTCCTCAACGACCTCAAACCGTTCCGCGCTGGTGATACTCTGTACCATAGTCGTGCCAACGGTTCCGTATAAGAAGCCGGGCAGACTGGTGGGCCAGATGCTTCGTACCCGTTCCTGAAGAAATAGGGGTGCATGTATGCAAAAGTAGGGTATTGACAATGGTAGAAAACTGGAGACACGTCCTACAAAACGGCACCAAAGCTGATGAACCGCTATCGTACTGATTTTCAATCCTTCAGTACAACATACTCAACAGCAACATATACAGAAGAATCCAGAGATATCAGAACTTGGCCTCGGCCTTTGGCCGCTCCCCCGCAATGTATCACAGGGGAAGGTTCTTTGAAGGATGCGCACCGCCCGGTAGTTCTATGATATGTTGCATGATCGGCTATAAGCTTGGACAAGGACATCACTAACCTACAAGAACGAGCCAATGCTTACTCGACTGCAAACCGCTGACATAGATTGTATATATACAGTCATACTAAACCCACGAGGAGTTTGGCAAAGTGCAGCCGTCCACTGCATCGAGTGCACTAACCAACTTGAACCGCACTGACAAATATAACAAAGCACACACCCATTGACTCCGCTTCAGTGCATCGAGTGCACTAACCAACTTGAACCGCACTGACAAATATAACAAAGCACACACCCATTGACTCCGCTTCAGCCAGTGCAGCACCCCACACTCAGTGGTCACGCGCAAATGGTGGCTGCTGACATCAAGAATCTTGTGCACTGCCATGTGTCCCTGGCTTACATCCCAGGCGGTTTCAACCCACTTCCCGTCTGCATCTATATCTGTATCGCTGTATACGGAAACGGTCGTCTCACCCGCGGCGGGGCTGGGTCGTAGGTAGTAGACATCGGCTGCAGTGGAATTAGAAGTGTTGTTTCAGCTACAGATTATGGCATTGTATGTACATGCCGAATTGCCTCTAACGTTAAAAATGAATAGAGAAGCAAATATGTTGTATATATACTATGTCTGGATTGGCCAATGAAAAAATCTATCAAGAGCATGTTTCAAGCAATGAGACACGCGTGACACGTCAGTATATTACGTATACAGAGGCATACATTGACAACCATTTGAAAGTACATACTGGGCGATATGCGAGTGCAATAGAGAAAACTTGCATACAGCGTAGTGCTGAACTGTGCAGAATAAACAGCATCCGAAGCATAGACAGAAAGTCACAACCGATTGCCTATAGAGTGCTCCTGCGATGGTCCAAATACATAAACTAGAGCATTACCTACGTACCGTAGACTCTATACAATGGTACTTGAGCAAGCGAGATCGTAAACACGTGTGAAAAAGAAAACTGCCCGTGATCATAGAACAGACCTACAACAAACACAGGTGGGATCGAACTCACACTCAAGATTCACGTTCCCACTATTTATCAACACGCTTGGATGAGAAAGTCACTGAGATCAATGGCAGACATGAGATCTAATGTCTCAGAATACTGTGGAACGTACCGAAACTGGTGGAAGCGTCGTCAGGGTTGCACGAATTGATGTGCAAGTACCAGTCGGCTGGGCGGTAGAAGTACAGTCCGTCCTGAATGCCAAACGAGCCCTCAATAGGGATCAGGTGGTGCGCACCCCCTTCGACACTATGATCGGTTGTCAAGCGACATTTAAAGGTACAAATGTGGGTGTCAGCACACGTGTATGTCGCCCGGAGCGGTGTGCCAGCGTCACAGACGCGATACATACGCTGCACATAGATACAGCAAAAACGCAAAGGCGAGAGGGGACTATGTTTGTAGCTACACCCTGTGTGGCACAATACAGCAATCTAGACCTCCCACGATCTGTCCGCTGAGTGAAAACGCACCAAGTGTAAGCAATCAGAAGTGTCCTAGGAGCACTGTTATGTGACTCAGGGTCCGTCCATACCTGACATCTCCCTCGCGTGACTTGATACGCTTGCTATGCGATATGTGATTAATATGGTGGTCTCGCTTGGTGTAGGTTGCGCCGGGGGTGAGCTTGACCAATGAGAGCACGGTGTCTTGGTAGGCTGTCAGCTCGTACTGCCACAATGTCCCAGGCTGGACGTTGTCTAAGTGCATGAGTAGGTGGGGCAGATATACAAGCCACCTGCAGGTAAGGAAGTAACTTATGCATTAGTACGTATAGACATTGAGAGAGAGACTGCAAACGGTTGTTCGTCGGTCGTGGTTCTACACCACCCGTACCGTGAGTAAGGCACTTGTGAGTAGGATCATTTGATTTACGTACAAGTTTAGAAGAGAAGTAAAAATAAGAATACAGTACACTCCACTTACATTCCCGACATCCCGGATATCTTCGCCTTGGCATAAAACTCATCGACAACATCATTGTAAATGAAAACGCCGAAGAACTACAGTGTGAGAATATAGAAAGAGTTTATACAAGAAAAATTTGTTAGAATTAGGCATAACCGTCGTGGCAATAATCGTAGACCTCCGAATATCGGTACGATCTATTCTGCGATACGAAACAGTTTGTTTGTAGGGTACGGAGAGGATAAAGTATGAAATACATCACAAGGCTCAAACATAACTCCGATACGTACTCACTGCAACCTCAGTGAAGAAACCTCACAGACATACCTTAGTGAGTGTCTTGACAAATACAGCCTTCGCAGGATTGTCGACATTGAGTATCAGGGAACCAGGTGAAAACAGTACAGCAGCGGTGAAGGGCTGCTCGCCGACCTCAGGCTTAAACATAGTGGTTGAAGGAAACTCGGCATGCTGAGTGGTGGCGTGCGACTGGAACGTGGCAAATACTGACGCGCTCAGTTGCTTGTTGTTCCTGCCAAATCCAATGACGGTGTCCACCACTGTGTGCAGGTGCAGCATACCATGATATTGTTAGCTTTATCTGCTGACTACGTCAGAGTATATAGGTTAATCGGGTTGGTAGTTAATGATTTAAAGCATCCAAGTACGCGATCCTACACGTGAAACCAGGGTGTGATGTGTAGTGCTACCATGCTTTGCTGTTCGTGGCTTCCTGCGCCAGATGATACGATTCATGACTGTGTGTAACACTGCGTGCACTAGTATCATTCGAATTATCGGTTGATAACACATAAAGCAAGAGTTGGATTGTTTACGTGATAGCCTCATTTTCAATATTTAAACGGGATTGCAATTGCTAGAGGTCAGTGTGCGGATCAATAATGTTTCGTGCTTGACGCGGGTTTCGAGATTTATTATTATTAACCATATAGAATGGACCACAAATTACTGATATTCATGAGTTAAATATGCTAGTGACACTTTTTTATTTTACGTGCAACTAGAATTTGAGGCAAATCGACAAGCATATCGCGCATGGTAGGCAATTACTCACAAACAAACACATACTTTTTCAGCAAAAAAAAATCAATCAATCAAAAAAAAAATTTCTAGAGAGCGATACTACTTCACCGGAACAGTTCGTGGCAGTGGCTTATATACCTATCAATCGAACAGCTATGCGGAAACATACCGTTGGCAACGCTTTCGTTCGGTCCCTTAATGGGTTGTATGATCTCTGTAGGTATGAAGTCGGAAATAAGTGGGTTTGTAATTGTTTGCGAACTTTGAGGATGGTAATCAGAGGTGACACGCAGGCATCGCGAGACGAAAGTGTGCTGATGCGAATCACTGATCGGTCAGAGGAAGAGGGTTCAAAGTGCTATACAGAAAGAACGTAAGACTAGATTCTACTTTGAAGACGAGGCAGAAACACACCAGTAGTCAATGTAGGTGTACTCATTCCACTAAGATGAACCTACAGAATAACACCGAAAAATGGTTAGGCCAGTTTTTACAGCACCTTGATGCTCATTTTTTTTCAACAAACTACATTCTTGTCGTTTATCAACACTGCACAGTTCTTAAATATTACAACATAGCATCTCCTATACACGAGCGCATACGTATACATTCTCCACAATCACATATTAAACGCAGACGAACATACCCTGAGTCTTAGAAGGTACGATACCAACTGAAGGAGCTGGCGTGCGTGTCACTGAACTCGACGGGGTGTATGAGGCAGAGGCTGTGGGTGTGCTCATTGCAGTCGCAGAGGGACTTGGCCCGGGACTCGCACTAGGCAATGTTACTGAGAAAAATATGAATGGTTGAATTGTGAATGATGAATGAGATTGGGGCAAGGGGGAGGGGATATGAAGTGTTCTCGCACACTCGCACATTGTATGTTGCCAGCTCACATTGACAGACGCTGCTGTTGTGGGCAGACTTGGCGATACAGAGGCCCATAGAGTCACGATGAATGAGGTGGCTGGAGTCAGAACAGCTGGCAGTGTACGTTGATGTATATATTTATGCTCAGGCTTATATTTGATTCTACGTACACACAAGTAAGCTTAAAATATAATGTGCCTGAAGTCGTAGATTTGACGGCTTTCACGACGAGTCAGCGAAGTGGTTATAGGGGTACTGTTAGTGATCTTGACCGGCGCTATGTCCATATTCCAAGTACACGTACGTATGTATAGATGATTGTGCAAACAAGTCACTGAGATGGGTTCACTTGGGTAGTCTGATTACGATAGGCGGACATACTGTGCGAGTTCATGCCGTAATAACCGTATCTTGAGTATTAGTCTAAGGTAAGGGCCTGCTTGGAAGACTAGTGCGGGATGAATGACATCGCCCATATGGTTTGACCTCAATCGTTCCAGTGATTCACAGGATGGGTGTGTGCAGCACTCTCAACGACATATTGAGATAACCCAACTACGTTGCGCATCCCCCCACACAAATTGTTTGCGTAGATAGAATTCGGTACTGTCCCCGTTGCTGAATTAAAAGACATGAAAGCCATGTACATCACTCTAAGCTTACTTATCGGTGGTATATAACATGAACTCACACTGCTGCTCTGATGTTCTGCTTCAAGTGTCGACTGAAATATTGAAAATACGTTCATGAACTACGCCACCACACTCTTCCACACCTATATCATCAAACTGCACGTCATAGCAGTCGACCGTTTTTCTTCCCAGACACGTAGCCGAATCAATCATACCGCGGAAATCTTCGATATTAACGCTCACATCGTCTCGAGGACTTATTGCGTAGGTGCCTTGGCTGCTCCTAAACATGGTGTAGCTGTGGCACATGTCCAGGTTGTTTGTGGGGTCACAGTGCTGGGCACTCCACGAATGGGCGAACTCGTGCGTCAGAGTGTCCTGAGACATTATGATGCAAAAGGGTAGCACAGGTTAGATGGGAAATACAGTCTGATGGATCTGTGGGTGTGCAGGAATATGCGACACACTGCTTCTTCGTGGATATCTTGTGCTTGTTATTTTATAGGTACGAGGTGTATTAGGTTCACTATTGAGTATACAGGTTTTATTAAAAATTCTTCTGGCAGGACAGTTTCATATAAGAGGAATATGTCAATAGCTCAACGACTTACAGCGTCATGAACCACACACGTAGTTGCGTGCCTGTCTTTATACATGCATTCATATGGCTGTCTATATGAGAAAAGACAGTAAACAACAGCACATCTTTCACCAGCGCTAAAGATTCTTTCACATCTGAAACTTAAACGCACATTTTACCGACACAACTATACATATTAATCCGTATCACTCACATTCATCATAGACACTCACCTGGTTCATCAGGTGATCGGTAATCACTTGCGGCTGTGTGATGTTGAGCCGTGATACAGAGTACTTGTAGTCGCTACAAAGCCCGGGCTGATAGGCAGCGCCGAGGTCGACGGTATTCACATCCAGGAACAAGTGAGCATGCTCGAATGTGGAGATATTCATGCCAGAGTTGTTTATTACATCAGACCTCCAGTCCTCCAGTATGGTTTTGAGTGGTGTTGGTTCTGTATTGTTGTGCCACAGCTCTGGGTCAGGACCGCGCAGTTTCACACGCGATACGCTGTAAGTGATTTGCAGATCTCTTTCGAAGATAAGGTTAGCCCCAGCCACTGTCGCCTGTTGTATGTACGTTTACAGCAGCTTAGCAAGATAAGTTGCTGGAAATTTGTACATAGTTTCCCGAGCTTGTGTGTATGATCTTTTTCTTTTAATTATACACAAATACACACACACTTACACACAAATATATATATACATATATATATATTGTGATATTCTCATAGTAGGAGTGGTTAACCACTCTTACTGGACTCGTGCCTAATAGGTTACAGTTTTGTGATATCCCCGTAGTAGCAAGTTGGTTAACCACTCCTACTACAGGGATTTCACAATATATATATATATATATATATATATATATATGTCTATTATTATTCGTATACATATTGTTATTTATACATCACCAACACCAACACAACACACACATTATGTGCGTACGTACGTATATAACAATAGTAATAATAATAATTACAATATAGTAATAGTATATATATATATATATTCATATATATATATGTATATATATATATATTAGTATATATATATATATAAATATGAATATATATATTCATATATACGTACTTGTATATTATAATGATCATATAGGATATTTATACAATACAATACAAAATATCAAAACATATTAGTGATATATAAACATATATACGTACATACTTACGTACACACTTATATATGTATAAATGTAAAAGTAAATATAAATATATATATAAATACATGTACATTTATACATTAATATGTCAATATAAACATATGTAATGTATCTATATCATAGGATATGAATTTCAACATTCATACATACATAAGCATATATATATATATATATAGATATTAATACATATACAAGTATGTATATAGATAAGTTTATTGGAATACAGACACAAACACAGACACAGATACAGACACAGACACAGACACAGATATATATATTTCTACATATGTATACATACGTACATACACATATGATTCTAGAGATATAGATATAGCTATGGATTTACTGTAGTTACATGTGCGAATATTGATATACATATGTATATATATATATACATTTGTACACACACACATATATATATATATATATGTATATATATATGTATATGTCTATGTATATATATATACATATATATATGTAAATAGGCATTCATACATACGTATATACATATATATATATACATATATATGTATATAGGCATACGTATATATACAAATATACATATATATATATATATATATATATATTTATATAATTCTACATACGTACACACACACACACACACATATATATATATATATGTATATTTCTACATACGTATATACACATATACACACATATATATAGATAGAGATATAGCTATAGATATGCTGTAGTTACACTAGATTAGAAATAACAATAATGAATGAGTGCAAACTACTTTTTCCTATACGCAGTTTCTTAGGGCTGAACATACCATAGCGGAATCAATCGCATCGTAGAAATCGGTGCGAAAAGCCTGGAAGTAACTGTTTGCAATTTCGATATATAGCTCGACAGTGTAGAAAGTGACCTTGTCACCACTACTGGTATTTCTTCTTTTCCTAATCAGTGTTTTCTCATCTGGTCGACTCACACCACTCCTGGTACGAGCCCGCCTGGCACGTTTTGTGTCAAAATCCGAATCAGAAGTATCGGCCCTTTTGTAGTGCCCATTTCTTCTCCTTCTAGTAGGTATATTTGGTACACCGATGGTGTCGAATATCACATCCGCATCTCTTGACACTGCTGTGGTACAGGTAGCCCACGTAGGGTTCTCATTTATATTGTTCTTCAGGTGCACAACACAGTCAGCCACCTCCCAGTCCCTTACGCTTACATACAGCGTACGATCATTGGTGAGAGCCCCAGTAACAGCCACTGCCAGGGGCCTCTCGTCTGCACCCTGTGTTCCGCCGATGGTAGTGTACTCATCTGAAGTAAAAATTTCGTCATTATATGTTTCTAAACCTGTGATGCTGACTGCTTTGCGCCCACCGTGCAAGCAGATATTGTTCCATTCGTACAACGTTATCGCATGATCATCTATATCGTATATTGATATTGATATGCCCATATCACAGCTTTCGGGTTTTTCATTATCGTTCAACAAGGTGATGGTGGCGGGGTTCTTATGTTTTGGAACATTTTGAGCGGCTACCTGGCTCAAAGTTAGCAAAAACACTGAAATATAACGCATGAGACGATCGGGAAGCATCATGATGGTGACTCTGTATTAAATATTAGATGTCAAAACCAGCATGTGTGGTCCTATTTAAGCTATGCTATATATGTGACTTACAGAGCTTCAACTAAATAACCTTACGGACACTACTTCTACTTATGACGACACCACTATGTAATAAGGACGATGTCTCTAATGAATTTTTCTGAGATTCTTCGATAGTTCATGATACATAGAATTTATTGTACACAAATCCATATTTTGAAACAATATTTCTTGAAATTAAAGAAATCTGTGAATGGTTGGTTTTCAACATGGCAACGGAAAGAGTGATAAAACTAAAAATCATAATTTCCATTTTCCTTTGGTTGCTTTTTTAGGTCTCTTGATACTTATTGAATTTTTTTCAAAAACAAATATTACTACGCCAACTGTATTTTAAAATATAAAATAATATGAACCGAACTTGACCACAACTTCCACAATACGTCAATCTGTGGATGTAAAAATTTTATATATAAAATACCACGTTTGTTTCTTCATTGATATCAGTATGATATAAATATGTACAGTACAATTTATATTATGATAATGATATGTGTGTAGAAAATATGTCGTTATTTCTTATATTCTTTTTTGAATCAGGCGTAAACCATACCCACTCACGTACCTGTTGATTAAAAAGAATATTTTTGATATGCCAAGTAGCGCTTCTAATATGTTATCAAAAAAAGATGAGAGCTAGTTTGTTCAGGGCTTGGGATAATAGTATATGTGCGCACTTATGATTATGAATGTGCCTATGAAACCATACAAAGTTAGACAAAAAAAGATTTACTTTGAGCGTGAGGACTGGCTCGCTGAAACGCGACAGCCCAATAATAAAAGTAAATTAGTTTGTTCAGACCGCCTGAAAACTTCTCATATAAATACAGACAGGGTTGCGTGTAATTTTTTAAATAGTAATGTCGATTTGGTATCAACCGGGATTGATCGTGAAGAAAATTCATAGAAGGATGTTTGCGTACTCATGCGATGAATTACACAAAAAGTTGAAGCAGGCTTTGGCCATGCAGCATACTTTAAAATTCTTTCGAGCAAACGATAGCGGATCGATCGTGGGATTTGCCTAAACTGGCAGGATTGAAACGCATCACATTTGATTCTGTGGCTAGACTTTCAAATTTATGAACGATGCCAAGATCGGCGTATCGTTTTATTATACAGTGGACAACCTAAGGTAGTTCAGAACGATAATACGTCGTTGAAAATTCATGCACCAAATGTCCATTCGAAGAGTAAAAAGTGTCGTGAACTCAAAGACCTTGAACTAGTGAAACAATCCGGGAAACTTGGAGCGCTATGTTTGTATCTGCAGAGTATATGCCTTCGGCTGAAACGATATCTTCAGCCGTACACTTAGAGGTAGCATCGAAACGGGGTTAGGTAAGAAGACGTCTAGACTCGTACAGGAAGATGGTGACGATTGTGTGAAGACAAGGGCCGTATATGAGGATGGTACTGCCACTTTACATAAACCAGCCCCACGGCCAGCCCGAGGTGTTCATGTTAAGTGCAAAAACCGGTATCGGATGGGTTGCATAGAATCAAGTGAACCCAACTGCGACTTTTAAAATATCTAATCTAATATGCAAGAAGGTTTCGAATGAAAACTATCTTGAAACTAGCCGACTATGTTCGAGTCTAAACAATGATGCTTACTTAATTTTTTCCGTCTAAGTACCCACCGCACTCGCACCGACATCATCGAAGTCACGACTAGGATAAGTTTTTGTAATGAAGGTCAATGGCTTGGTGTTTTGATGCGCACACAATCATACACGCGAACATTCAGATCGATAAGTAGGAAAGACAATCGATGTCAAAAACATAGCATAATGCGGAAGTCCCAATGTCTTTTGATGATGGTGGCAGACGGGCCTTTCTCCGGGCTTGGTAAAGTAAGATATCCCACCAAACGTTAAGTCTGAGTGCATACAATGATTGCTGGGTCGCTCTCGAGTTTAAACGGCCTTATTAAACTTCAAATAACCGCACCGTACTTCTACAACACAGCTCGTCTAATGAGTAGGTTTCTAGATTAATTTATAGTTCGCCTCGATTGGGAAGGACCTTGATGATCTCCATCTCAAACACAAGAACGGCTCCTCCTGGTGATGATCATTCCAATATACAAAGTCGGATAATTAGCAACGGGAGTGGCACATTGTCAGCAAAGTTGGGTGGGGACGTTGGCGGGATAGTATCGGGGTTCGCTTAGAAAACTGTTGATCGTCTCTCTCGATCGACGAACGAGCGGAACAAATCACGAAACTACGATGAGTCACACGTTTACAAAATTGCTTTAGCTCTCCGAAAATGAGTGCAGTCCCTTATCTCTGATAATAATTGAATGATACATTGATCATGATCCCGAGGTAGGACGATCATGGATGCGAGCCTACACATAGTGTATACACATAACATACAAACGAATATGAGTATGCGATCCTTGACAACGCAAATTTGTTCACATCCATATAGCACACATCAACCAGGGGTACATACATCAACACATTCTGGGCCTCAGAGTACCCAGAAAGAGACTGAGAAACGGTCGGGCAAAATCAACCACAACACCACACTGTATGTGACGTGAAAAGAGATGGAGAAATTGAACTAAAGAAAACAGTGCTTCGCCTACCGGGGATCTTGCCACCTGCGCCGCGGTCTCCATACGCAAGCTCGGACGGGATGGTCAGCTCATACTTATCGCCCTCCTTCATCAGCTGCATGGCCTCCGTCCTATGGTATACAAACATAAATCGTGAGACGTACTACCTTAATGGCCGATGCTGGCCCTGGCGCAAACCTTTTGATATTCCACTACAGTTGTTTGTATAGTCATAACATCGCGCTAGGGAATGATTGTGGTGTCTAAGAGCATCCGCATGAAAAACGTATTATGCAATATAGAACGAAGGTTTTCAGGCACAGACGATGATCGCCATCCAACAGAAGCCTACAAAGCTTCTGTTGCTCGACTACAATGTACGATCATCACCGCTGACGTTCATGAACGTCGTTGCGTCGTAAAATCTACACGTGCTCGTAATTCACACCGTTAGAATTTGGCATTTATTACTGTTTGTTTGTATACAAGTTGTACTTGTACGACTGAAGAACTATGTTTCGCTGTACTCGACAAGTACTCAGAAACAGTAAAGGATCAGATAGTGTCACACAAACTAATAAGCTTGATACCAATGACTGCAGTCGATGTATAAAACATACTTGCAAATCGTTGCATACCGTGGAACAACGATACAAAATCAAGGTACGGCTAAATATGAAGCACAAATTAAGTACAATTAGTACGAAAACACAGACTGAAGTATACAGCATAAGACACATATATGTACTAAAATAACACAATTAGATATCAAGCACACGCATACCAGCCTTTGATGACCTGGTTGGGAGCGAATCGCGTAGGCTGGCCTCTCTTGATGGATGAGTCGAACTCTTTGCCGTCAATGGTTCTACCGGCGTAGTGTACATCACAGGGTGTGCTAACCTTGGGAGAGGGACCACCCTCAGGGCCTGACTTCATCACGCGGTATTGGAGTCCCGAAGCTGTAACGGGAAGTACCGAGGTGAGTACATTTGTACATATATGAAACGTTAATGAGAGGGGGGAGTGAGGATTAATTGAAGTCTACAGCGTGGTACTGAACGCAATATTCACACAATTTGTCGTGACCACAATCTGACGTATAGGAATAATAATAATACTGATCATAATGGTGCTAATGATAACAATAATAATATACATAATATCTATTTATAGTATTTTATATATATTTAATAATAATAAAATATA